GTGCCATTCCACATTATTACAAATAACTTCATTTCTGGACATTTATGGTTTGATTTCTTTGTATGTATGGATCACTTGGGTTGTTACCGATATCTGGTGAAAATTTCGTGTCATTAGCACCTCTAGCAATATATTTACTGAGAAAAATGGTGACGTGTTCAATACTTATTTTACCCGCTGTATGCCCATATGTCATTTTCATTGCATTTCAAGGAATCATTTTGCTCTGAACAATAATTTTCAGTAATTTCTCATTGGTGATAAACACCAAATGGTCCATAAATTTAATTTAAAAGACGATAACAGCACAGTAAATCTGTAGAGTCCAGGATTATGTAATGTTTCTTGATTTACTGTGGTCACAGTAATCCACCCTTTTTTATTGACCTTAGTTGCTCCCGGCAAGGTAGGTGACTTTGAAAGGCACGGCTGCTGTAAATTTTTTACCAGGCAGCACACCTACTTCTGGAAGCCTCACATTTATTTCACTTCAGTGAATTATATGTGCTGTCAATTTCCTTGGAAAACTGGGCTTGGACTCGTAGTACAACCCTTTAAACAGCAGCCGTGTGTTCAGAACAGGTGAACTCTGACTGGAGACATTCGTCATACTTCATGTGCTGCACACAGGTGTAAGAGGGGAAATTTAGTCCCTTCAGCTTGAGTCAGGTAGATCAGGGCTGACTGGTAAATCTTAGAGGATTCACATTTTGCCTTTTTCTTACAGCTTTTAACCTCACTGGATTGGGTCTGACTGAGACTTTGAGGTTGGCAAGATGCGTTCTAGTGTAGATGGACCRCCATGCTCACCGGGGAGTGAAGTGATTAATAATAACGGCAACAACAACAGCAACAACAACAGCAATGGCATCAACAACCACCGCAGGACCAACAGCGAAAACAATGGAAACTCAGGTTCCCAGTATGCATTGTGTGCCCTGGGAGTTGGTCTTATCGCTCTCGGTGTTGTGATGATCGTGTGGAGCGTGGTGCCTACAGATGGATCTTCGACTAACAGCAGCAGTTCAGGGGGAAACAACGCCATTGATACCAGGAAAAATAAAGCATCTTCTGTGGCGTTCGTGTTGGCGGGCTCTGGCGTGGCCATGCTGTTGCTGTCCTTGTGTTTGGGAATGAGGAACAAGCAGCGGGAGCAGCTGAGAATCCGGGAGACCCAGAACCAGAGAGAAGCAGCAGCAAGGGAACAGAGCGAGAGAGAAACGTGAGTCTTGTCATCATTGACTTAAATCT